GATGTTAGCATAAATAAATGATGTTAGCATAAATAAATGATGTTAGCATAAATAAATGATGTTAGCATAAATAATGTTAGCACAAATAAATGTTAGCGTAAATAATGTTAGCATAAATAATGTTAGCATAAATAATGAGAGTTAGACAGAGGCCTGCTGTGCCTGTGATAAGCTGCCTGTGTGTGATAGGACAGCTGGACATCCAGAGGAGGGTGGAGCTGAACAACAACAACAGGASTGAAACTGTGGAGAAACGACACACAAACAGACTCACACTAACACTGTTGTCCGTCTGTCTGTCTGTCCACCAGCTGCCAGGACAACATGTCACAGGTGAAGTTAGCRAAGCCCAAGGACAAGTGTGAGAATTGTACCAAACAGGTATTTAAACAGTTCAAACGTGTGTGTGTTTGTAGCAGGTTAACTTGTTTCTGAGCTCACTGTGTSATTGTGTGTGATTGTGTGTGATTGTGTGTGATTGTGTSTGATTGTGTGTGTTTGTGTGTGATTGTGTCTGCAGTGCAACAAGAAACAGACTGAAGATGGTTCTGTAGAGAACACAGACAGTGAAGAGGTCAACGGGCAGGTACTGTCTGCTGACTCAGCAGTTTTCTTATTGATTAGATGGGTCTAAACACTGCTGACTCAGCAGTTTTCTTATTGATTCGTTGGGTCAAACACTGCAGACTGACTGGTTTAACACCAGGACACTCCTGTTTTTATATATCTGAATCAGTTTACTGTCACACAGCTCCTCTTCAGATTATAAACTAAAGAAAAAGAGCTGGATGATGATGATGATGTTGGATTAAAAGTTTGTGAGAAGCAGCAGATCATTGATTTGAACCGTCTGGTCCTCTCAGCTGAAGGAAGGAGCAGCACAGCTGCTGCTCAGTGCCTGTCTGTCCTGTGATGGCTGCCTGTCAGAGGAGGACACCCTGAAGATCTCTCAGCAGAACCTAGAGGAGCTGGAGCGCCTTCTGGACCTCAACAAGGTACGGCACGTTGCACGCAGCACCGTCAGACACCTGAGAGCTGGTGTCGTGTTGCACTGTGGGATTACGGTTCACGTTGGTGCTGTTTTTCCATTTGTGTCAGAGGTGTGACTCGTCCAAACACAAGGTGCTCGTGGCGTCTTTATGTCCACAATCGCTGCCTTTCTTTGCCGTGCAGTTTGGTGTGGGGATCACCGAGGCTGCGCACAAGCTCTGCGGCTTCCTCAAACACCTGGGTGAGCTGCAGTTTTTAACGTGAACCTTTAAGATTTAGTTCTTTTCCAGAAGCTTTTTGGATTTATTTAATCCAAAATTAATCTTTTTACCTCTTCCAGTCCCATCTAAACATACGACTTCTCAGGAGCTGTGTTTCCATTACAAATGTGCACAAAACTTTATCCATATTCTTTTAAATGACGGAAAAACACAGTTTCACAACTGCAGTGTTTCCATTAAGTTAATGTTATTAAAGTCCCGTGAATACGTTTGTTCTCATGATAAGTCATTACAAAC